CACAAATTGTTTCTACAAAAATCAGACTGTTAATTTAATCCTCCTTTTTTTTTATCAGTCACAGACAGTCAACCATTCAATCCTGTTCCCTGCCATGCCTTTTACAAAGGCTAGTCATCTTTCTTGTAGGCACTGTGGCAGTCAAATTCCATCAACAGACAAAAGCAGGTGACTGGCAGGCACAGCTGGCTTCTCAATCACCTACAGTCAGAGCATAGCTATACCAGGTTTCATAACAATCACAGCCAGTCAATCCTGCTTTATGAAGGCAGTGGGCATTAATTCAACTGTTAAAAACAGTCGCTTGATTTACTTTGACTGCCGCGCTGGCCTTGTTGAAATTGCCAGCCAGAGAGGGTGGATGGTGCCACAACAATGCTCTCAAAAACAATTAAAAAAAAAAGTGTTCCACATCAGACAAAAGTTTTGGTTTACCAATACATGTGTACCAAAATACCCCAAACTTGTAAGCAGTTGACTTGATGGATGGAGTGAGTTTAATACATCACGAAATTATCCACAGTTGATGCATAATAGAGCGTTTGTAATGGGCAAAAAGAAATTTCTGTGTCTGGCACTTTGATAGTAAAACTGGCCTTTAAACGTGCACGGTTCAGTTGCGCGAATGCCAAAAGAACTTTTGCCAGCTTCACCCAGCGCGAGTCAAGGATGCTTGCCTTTGACACCCTTGGAGTGATTGTGCTCACCGGTTTGGTCTAGTTTCGCCTTTTTTTTTAATTGTGAAACCGAAAGTGTTGTTTGGTTCGAGCTTGTCCCATGGGAAAAAGCATTTTCCGGGGTGTCTGCGGGGCACTGCAGTGCATTAATGGGACCCCAAGCTTCGTACAATAGGGCTTTTCCACCCGACCAAGGCCCCATCAAGTGCATCTCGATACCCTGGCTGTTTGGGATCACTCACAAATCCAGGGACCTCGATGCTCTCCTTGAAATCTACCTGTAGTTTCTACACTGAAACCCTAATCTCGGTGCAAAATTCGATTTGGATTTTGTCTCCCTAATTCAAACTTCCATAAACAAATTACATGATGACATCATCATGATGTCACTGCAGTATTTTTTATACCTTTAACATGTCTCTGTCTGTACATATCGCCAAGTTTCAACCTGATCACGCTTGTAGTTCTCCACATGTATTTATAAGACTTTGAAGAATATGGTACACCTTCATTTTTTTTTCACAGTGTTGCGGAAAAGCCAAAATGTTTAACGAATTTACATGTAAGAATGCACTTGCCTAGACTGGACCATATGGTCTCAGTTAAGGACATGGTTTATTTTCGGTGATGCAGTCAGTTCAGTAAGTTCAGTCAGTTAGCTCAGTCTGTCAGCTCAGTCAGTCTTATCAGCTCAGTCAGTCAGCTCAGTCAGTCAGCGCAGTCAGTCAGCGCAGTCAGTCAGCACAGTCAGTCAGCACAGTCAGTCAGGGGAGTCAGTCAGGGGAGTCAGTCAGGGGAGTCAGTCAGCTCAGTCAGTCAGCTCAGTCAGCCAGCTCAGTCAGTCAGCTCAGTCAGTCAACTCGGGGAGTCAGCTCAGTCAGTAAGCTCAGTCAGTCAGCTCAGTCAGTCAGCTCAGTCAGTCAGCTCAGTCAGTCAGCTCAGTCAGTAAGAGGACAATAGGCTGGACTCTCCGAGTCGGGACAAAAAAAAAAATTTAATCGGATTTCCTTTTAATATCCACATTATTTCCTCCGAAAAAGTATTACAAAAGTATGAACTTACGTTGTAAGATTTAATGGCTCAATCATCAATTACCGGCATACTATAAAAAAAAAAGAAGGTTGAAGCTATTTCCCCTACCGGTATTTTCATTTTACTGTACACTTCATCTTCAGTAGGAACGTTTGCACATTGTACGTGTACTATATCCTTGAAGCTTTTGTTGTCGATACAATTCAGGAAGTAATCCTATGATCTTGCAGCCTCGAGAACGGAAGTTATCCAAACCATATAGCATGGGTTCCTGGGAAGCTGTTTGACAATATGGGATCAAATGCTCAGCAATCTAAAACTTTAAAGAAGATTATTGCGGGTTGCAACTTTAAAGGGGCATTACAGCCTGAAATTCCTAAAAATTTTATGTTTCTGATTTTTGACTTATAATTCACAGGTCTGGTTGAAAGGAAACATAACCTAATGTCTTACCGTTCCCGAAAAAAGACGAACAAACAAAGACCTGGTTGTTACATCAGACACGGCAGACATTTTGTGGCATATGCATGCGTATTTCCAGCCTTGTCAATTCAGTGTACGGTACACGTTTTATGTATGTGACACATAATACACACAGCCCCAACCCATATAATGCGATGCACTGGTGGAGCTAGTACCAGTAGTACCCAGCAGCTCGATTTTCGAGAGTAAAGATTCTGACCCCAAACTTCGTTCTCGCAAGAATGTCACAAAAATGCCAATTTTTAAAAGGATGGTTGTGTGGATGTATGCTCTTCCATTAACATCATTTCGTTTGAAACACGTTTTGCAGCCCAATTGGGCACATTTAATACAGAACTTAAAACCAGAGGGTGTAGAAATGAGAAACAAAAATTTGGCTAGAAAACGGTTCATTCATTTTCCATGTTCTGGTACCCAAATACTCAAATTTGTATCCTTGTCGAGACATTGTTTAGTTCTGGTGAACAAATTTGTTAAAGGGTCAAAAGCTATTTTCAAAATGCCCCTATTTTATCCCGAATTACTTTCCTGGGTTTAAATTCTGACCAATTATCCCTTACATAAAATACTTTAATTTGCGACCGATAAGTATACCTGGGAAATTCCTAGTTTTTGAGTAAAATCCATTTTTCGTGAATTCCTTGTGGAGACCTATTCACCTTTAGAATTGCCTTGTGGAGCCCTTTACAATCTTTTGTTCCGTATTATACCCGGGTCTCAACAAGGCATCATTTTTTGAAACATCTGTACCTGCAGGATTATCCATTCTCAGGTCATTGCCACAAGGACTATTTGTTCAGTCTTACTCTTTTGTCCAAGACCAATAGTCAATTTCTTTTGGGGGGTGAGGCCCAACCCCTGGAGGGTATTATTCTGTGTTGTTGTCTAGACTGTAACAATGATGAACAACTTAACAAAGGCCTTTCCAAGGCCTGAAGTTCAATATATATGAGGCAGTAAAAGCGTCCACCAAACGATCTCTCAAATTATTTGCATCTTCTACCAAGCTTGTGAGAAACGTCTGAAGGTCATTCCTTAAAACATCCAGTTGGAACTTCCTCCCACAAGATCTCATTGTTGTTAAAAACTTGTTGAACCCAACCAGTGGCATATTCAGCTTTTTATGCCGGGAGGGTGGGGTGGGGGGTTGGGGTGGGGGGTTGGGGTGGGGGGTTGGGGTGGGGGAGGGGGGGGGGGGACGTGGTGGGTGTGGGGGGTTTGGTTTTGTGCAAATTCGGAAATTAGTCATTGCCACTTCACGCTGTATGCCTGTGAACCAGTACGTGCACGTGGTGTGTCCGTCCACTGGGTAGAAAAGCCGCTCTCTCTAGTTCGCCCACGGAGCCCATTTGATATCCTTTCTACTTTCTGAAGTTTTTATAAGAGGAACAATTTTTTTTTCCCTGGTAGTACATGTTTAGTTCTTTGTTATCGTTTGTTCTCTAGAGTGTGTCCCTGGGAAATAATTTTCTCAAGCTGAGACTTTTTTTATCAGCAGGAATAAAAGAAGAGAGTGACCTTCCTTTCATTGTAAAGCAGAGAAAAGGAAAGAAAACATTGGAGCCAAACTGAAGAAAAGACGACTTGAATGCTTTGGAATACCACACATTCTTCCTAGGATAATTCAGGGTTGGGCGCTTGTACAGGTTCATGTACTGAGCTCTAGAACCGCAGGGATCAGTCCTGCCCAACCCTTATCCTTCCCTCACAAACAAAATTATAAGAAATCAAGACACTTGAAGTTAAAAATAGAAAAGGATTAAATTTTATACCTCGTTCGCCTCAGCTGTTCCAGAACTTTTCAAAGGGAGATGGCTAAGGGTCAGATTCAACACTTAGAAACTTTGTGCCATTTAAACAGTCACAGACAGTCAAAATGTCCATCCACTTCCCCTGCTATGCTTTTAACACAGGCTAGTCACCAGCAGTCAGATCATATGGCAAGTATGTGACTAGTCAAAGTCAGTCAACAGACCACGAACAGACAAAGCAGGCAAGTTGTGAGCCCAGCTGGCTTGTCAATCACCTACAGTCAAACATAACTTAGCTGTAATACATAAACAGTCACAGCCAGTGAATCCTGCTTTATGTAGACTGGGAACTGTTAAAAACAGTCACTTGATTGATTTTGACTGAAAGGACAACTTTGCACAGAATGTATGTTTGCATAGGAGGGTGAGGAATTAAAACCAGCTCCTAAGGTTTGATCAGTCACAGACAGTCAAAAAGTCAATCCACTTCCCCTCCCATAACTTATACACAGGCTTGTCACCAACAGTCAGATCATGCTTGTAGGCACTGGTGACAGTCATATTAAGAACTAGTTTAAGGGGTGATTGTCTTTAGATGGAATTTTCTCCCAAAAGTCATCGGATTACCCCCCCCCCCAAAAAAAAAAAGTGAAAGAAAAATGAAAGGTAATGAAATACAATGTAAGCTTCACTTTTATGTGTGTCTCAAACACCTTGGAGAGTTGTGAGTATCTTTTCCGATCTTGGGAAATGGCGGTACGCCGGTATTTATCATTGAGGCCTATGGCAGTTTATTTGCTACGGTACTCTGCAACCAGCGGTATGGTTACAGGAAAAAAAATGTTATGATTTGGTCCGGGCTCCAGGCCCACGAAGCGAAAGCCTTTTAACATCAATCTGAGCAATGACTTGTTTTACCTGTCCATTTTTATTCAGCATTACTGATTGTTCGTTTGTTGGTATTGTCAAGGTCATTTCAAATTTTTGAAGTGGAAAAATATATATTTTTTATCTATCCATCTAACTGTTATGACTTGTGTCTTCTCATCTGTTACAGCATCCATCCAAGCAATTGTCTGTCGTGCATGATTTGTACAAGGATTTACGGGACGGGAGTCGCCTGATCGCGCTGCTCGAGGTCCTGACAGGAGACAAGATAGTGAGTCTTGAGCCGCCTTTTAATGCATGATTTCAGGTGGTTTCGTGTCTGTTGCATGTTAAGGCCTTTTCTCTAAGAGCGAGTTCAGATGTGAGGACCATTAGTCGACTACCGGTAGTGGTTGAATTTTTACTTAACTTACGCCTGCGCACTAATAGCAACATGCGAACGCCTCTGTTCAAATGTTGGTCAAAACATCATCACAAAACTTCTTGGTCCTGGGTCCCCGTGGTGCTTGATGATGTGGGCAGCTATTGTTAACCAGCAATGGAGCCGTGCGCCATGGTTTGGTTCCGAAGAACTCCAACCAACCGACCAACCTTCGTTCAAGTGAAGTTAGTCGAACTATGGTTAACTGTAGTTCAGGCCTGAAGTTGCTGAGAGCTGTCGGCGTAAATTGACAAAATGAACAAAACAAAAAGAATCACCCCCCCCCCCCCCCAAAAAAAAGCAATCTCTTGAATACCCAACATTGGTCATTAGTAGCTTTTGAATCGGCCATTGAACTTTCTATGTTTTTGAAATTTGTTTTCCTAACTTTTATTTTTCAATATCTTTTACACAAATTTGTTGGACATTTCCCGTGTATGAGGGACTTTTCTGGGGAGGGGAGGGGGGGGGAGGGAAATGGTCTAGGGAGCAAAGAAATTTCCAAATGGAACAGAAATACACAATTTGCATGTTCGGTTTGCTAAACACCCTTTTTAAAATTGTGATTCCTACAGCCCCAGGAACGTGGCAAGTTGAGACTCCACCGTCTGCAGAATGTGGAGAACGCCCTAGCAGTGCTGAAGAAGAAAAAGGTAAAGACAATTGTCAGTGGTTGGAATCGAACCTATGACAAACGAATGTCATGTAATGTAAGAATGCTGAAGAAAAAATGGGCAACTTGACCATGCGTCGATTCAAACCTGTGACAAATGAATGCAGTAAGAGTGCTCCCGTACAAAAAAAAAGATTAAGAATATTGGCCGTGGTTGAAATCAAATATCTTACATACGTGTATGAATGCCCAAGGAGTAACAAAGTAGTAAAAGAAAGTAGGGACAATAGACCGCATTGGGAATCGAACCTGTGACATACAAATGCCCAATGAATGTTAAAGAAGAATATGGTTGGGATTGAACCACAGACACTCAAATGCCCTAGGACTGCTGAACTAGAAAAAAAAGTTAGGAAAATTGACTGCTGTTGGAATCGAACCTACGACGTACAAGTTCTCAAGGGGTATTGCAAAAGACTCTCTTTCATTTCCTATCGACAGAAGCAGATAAAAGCCCATTACAAGTGCAATTTGAAGATTATGCCTGCCTGCTTTCTATAATTAGATTTTCTCAAATCCTAGGTGTATGTGGTGAACATTGGGAATGTTGACATCGTTGACGGCAACAGCAAGTTGACCCTGGGCCTCATCTGGACCATCATTCTCCACTTCCAGGTCAGTCTTACTTTCAGTAACACTAACACCGTTAATTAACAGACCTCATGGGCGTATTCGAAACCCTGTTCTCGGTTGAATGAACACAAGAACAGGGTTTTGAATGACAAGAACCAACACGCAAATGGTGTTCGCGAACAAGATTCTCATTCCCCACTTATTGGGAGTAGATGAAGAACGTCAAGAACAAAGATGGCAGACTTGGGCCCCTACCGGAACTTGCGTTTAATTTTTTTAAATAAAATTGTACGTGGTTATAGAGTGGGCTTGTCAGCCTTGTCTTTGCCGAATTTTATAGCTGTTCCGGTATTTCACTTATTTTCGAATTAATTCAATTAATTGTCCCTTCTTTTCATTCGGCATTTTAATGCAGCGGCTGCCGTCTTGAATTTTCGCCCAGCTGCACTTCACGTGCACTTGAGCGGTCGTAATCGGCAACCAGAGAACACTGTTCGCGGGTCATCGAGATTGGGGTTTCAAATACGCCCCAGCTGTATGGTGGCCATCTTTGATTTCTTCCATGAGTAGGGATGAGGCTTGAGCCGCGTCCAAATTACATGGCTATGGCTCGGAATAACACACTAGTGCATTGGCAGTGGTTGAAACCGCAGCCATAGCTGCAGTCTGCATGTGTAATTGCTGGTCATAGCCAAGTAAAGTAAATGAGAAGTTGTCCATTAAGCAATTTGCCTTCGAATTTTTTTCTTTTAGGCCCCCCCCCCAAAAATAGTCGGTCTCTGGTCAGCGCGCGCGCCGATTTTAATCATGCGCGTCAACCTTTTTTTTCCCCAAAATGTTCTGCGGTAGCTCCAAAAGCGCCCTCTATTGCCGCACCTCCTCAAATTTTTTTACCAAAGGGCACCAAGGAATGGGAAATTGCACCAGAGCAAATTATGGAGGACACCAATGTACATGAGGACACCAAAAAAAGCAAAATAGTACCCCACCTTGTTTGTACAATCCAAGCTTGAAAAAAAAAAAAACCCGCGTCGCCGCATCAATTCCGGAACTTTGGTCTGACCAGAGACAGAGTATTTTTTTTTTTTGGCCTTAGAAGAAACTTTGGAGGGTCAGCGAGAATTGGAAATTCCCGTTTTCTTTACAGCAAGCATTTTTTTCTTGCGTAAACAACAGAGAAGTTTTAGCCAATGTGCATGGTTAACTTCTTGGATAAACTTAAAAGTTTGTCTCGCCCCAAAGATTAATATACAACATTGTTTTTCCTTCAGAGAACAAAACTTACAAGACACTACTTTGCTTAACTTTCCTCAGCGTAGAAATTTGTCATTACGAGGGCCTTCATGTTACTATTAGCACAAGTTTATTCTCGGCTACAAAGTGAATGAATGAAAACGGGATAGATTCCAAAATTTACTGGAAATTTTCCAAGTTTACGATCTTACTCATTCATGAATTTCTCATCACCAGCCTCCCCCCCCCCCCTTTTTGGTTGAGACCCTGCACAAGTGTGTTTAGCCTCGGAGAGGTACCAGATTTCTTGTTTGGAAGACCTTTCCAGCCGCGGTTGGATTGTGTCGAAGCCCAGAAACTTATTCGTTGTTTCTGCGTCTGTTCCCCAAGCCTCAACTATTCCCACGGCAGGTTTTGGGGAGCCTCTCTGAAAAGGGGGCGAGTTGGGCCGAGGCCGGGCCTTGTTTTCTTTCCACACAGCCCAGCTGTTTTCTCTGCCGAAAGGTCCACAAAACATGGATTGTCGCGTTGTTTGAAGGTGTTCCGGCCATGCATACAAAGCATTGTGGAGCTAAAGAAACTAGCTCCACTCAGTTCAAGAAATCAACTTTGGTGGTTTCACTCCGTTGTTTATGCAAGTCTCGTCATGCGAAAAAAAAAAAAATAACGGAACGTCTATTCTCATCCGAGAGTCACTTGGGTTTGACATTCCTCACTTTGCTGTGATTGTTGATGGGTGTCGCCCTGGCAACAGATGCGGTTTTCTCCATTCACTGAATGGGATGTTTCCGTGGCAATAGTTGGTACTGTGCCAACAATGGCGCTCTGCCCTTGGAAGTTGCCAGGGAAAATTGTTTGACTCGTAGAGAAAGTGTTTTTTTTGTGTGGATGGAGTGTTCAGTGATTAAATAATTTGTTTTTTTGTGTGAAGTAGCTATATAAGGAATGATTGCATACATGTGTACGGTTCGAGTTTTGGAAGTTGTTGAAGGCTAACGAACATCAGACTTTTTTTTCATTGAGAAGAACTTGGTAACTGATGGCCCTCTTCCAACCAAACCCTACCCCCAACCCTACCCCTTCCCCTTCCCTCCCCCAAAAAACCCAGAACCAACAACACCCTTACTCTTCAGGCATTTTTTGATTAAGAACCCCCTCCCCCCAAAAAGATGCACCGTTGGAAAGACCTTATTTCGTTGATTTCTTAGTCCCCTTACTATTTTTCAACCAAGTATGTTTTTTCAACAACAATTACGTCAGTTTGCTTTTTGGATAGCTGCAAATGATGGACTGTAGCTTTAAATGCACAACCCTACTCACTGACTGATTGCCACTGATTGTGAATAGGACTTGCCAAAGGCTTGTCATGACCCACAAATTTGACTCAGATGACCTACATGTACTGGTAGACCCCCTGGACCAGATTGGTCTGCTACCAGCTTTACCAGCTTGCTTAGTCTGAAATGGACTTGCTCAAGCCGCACCATGGCCCAAACCTTCGACTCGTATGACTACCTAGTACCTACATGTGTACATTGTAGACCCCCAGAGCAAATTGGTGTGCTACTAGCTTTACCAGCTTGCCGAGTCTGAAATAGACTTGCTCAAGCCTCGCCATGATGGCGCAAAAAATTGACTCCAATGACTACCTTCATGTAGACCCCCTAGACCAAATTGGTCTGCTACCAGCTTTTACCAGCTTGCCTAGTCTGAAATAGACTTGCTCAAGCCTTACCGTGGCCCAAAACTTTGACTCCGATGACTACCTTCATGTAGACCCCCTAGACCAAATAACTTGGCTACCAGCTGTACCAGCTTGCCTAGTCTGAAATAGACTTGCTCAAGCCTTACCGTGGCCCAAAACTTTGACTCTGATGATGCCCTACATGTAGACCTCCTGGACCAAATAACTTGGCTACCAGCTGCACCAGCTCGCCTAGTCTGAAATAGACTTGCTCAAGCCTTACCGTGGCCCAAAACTTTGACTCTGATGATGCCCTACATGTAGACCTCCTGGACCAAATAACTTGGCTACCAGCTGCACCAGCTCGCCTAGTCTGAAATAGACTTGCTCAAGCCTCACCATGGCCCAAAACTTTGACTCCGATGACTACCTTCATGTAGACCCCCTAGACTAAATAACTCTGCTACCAGCTGTACCAGCTTGCCTAGTCTGAAATAGACTTGCTCAAGCCTTACCGTGGCCCAAAACTTTGACTCAGATGACGTTCTACATGTAGACCCCTGGACCAAATTGCTCTGCTACCAGCTTTACCAGCTTGCCTTGTCTGAAATAGACTTGCTCAAGCCTTACCGTGGCCCAAAACTTTGACTCCGATGACTACCTTCATGTAGACCCCCTAGATCAAATAACTTGGCTACCAGCTTTACCAGCTTGCCTAGTCTGAAATAGACTTGCTCAAGGCTCACTATTGGCCAAAACTTTGACTCAGATGACTACCTACGGTACACCCCTTAGACCAACTTAATTACGATCAGCTTTTACGAGGTTGACATGTCTTATGCACGGCGCATGTCTTCCATCAATTGATACTAAATTATGAGCAAATACCAGTATGCAGACTTGTCTGCAAAAAAAAAAGGAGGAACTCCTGATGATGATGGAATGCAGACTCATTGAAGTTACCCCTTTTGTTCCTTTTACTGTGTTACACTCTAATTCATCAACCGCTCTGACCAACGTGTTCAGGGGCACGCACAGAGCATTGTCAAGTTATAAATGGAGAGTTTTCTATTCACAGGCCCAACCCTAAAATGCCACAGAAGTCTCAACAAAAGTGAAAAATCTCTATTTGATATAATTTAGGCGCATAATCGTAGAGCTGTGAAATTCTAGACTGGCTTGACAATACCCTTCAGGCTTCTAGATCTGGGTTAACAACCTTTGTTCACTTTGCACGTGCAGCGTCGACCTCTTGTACAAAAGAAAACCTGAGGTGTCGGGGGGGGGGGGGGGGGAGATTGGACAATTTGCAGGTATCGTTTGTTGCGACGTGAATTATGAAATTGTTGTAAAGTGAAGTCATGGAAAGCAGCGAATGAATTGTGGTTTGTCAGTTTGACTGTATCAACACAATGCTGGCTGACGTGCTTTGTATTATATGAAAGCTTTTTATTATCATGCAAGATCAATGTTAGCCTTGAGCATTTGGATTGCACAATAACCCTGCGGTATTTCTTCAAAATTACTTTCAAAGCGATTCCTCAAAACTCAGACATAAGTTTTAACACTTTTTTCCCCCCTTTTGTCCAGAAACTTGCTTTAATCACTGCGTATAGGGACCCTATTGTGACATTACATTGTATCTGTGCTTTTACTTTAAAGTTAGGGTACCGGTAGATCATTTGTAATTTGTGCATTTTTTTCGGTTGAACCAACAAAAGTGCTCAAAATCTAAAAGCAGATGCTTAATAACTAACCTGATGAAGTTTTAGTTCTATGAATGCTGTACAACAAATCAAATATATTCTGGATCGCAATTTCAGTATATCCAGAGTTGCCGAGTCAAATTGTGAATTGCGCCCTCTCATGACAAAATCCTGAAATCAGCATTCGCGACATGATACTCGTTCAGCTGGTTGTCACCCATTCACGGATTCGCCCAATGGCGAACTAAACACAAATCACAAAGCAGGGCGGCGGATTCACGAAAACTTCCAAAAATGTGTCACATGACAAATCTTTGGAAAGGACCTTCTTTTGTTGTTTCCTTCAAATTGACATCATGCCAGAAGGAATGATTGACCTATTGCCGTTTGCGAGTTAGCCACGCCCCTTAGACAACCCT